GGCAATGTGGAAGAATTCAGTAGAAACTCTTGCTGGACCAATTCACAGTGCACGTGGTCAATAAGCTATTCCCGAAACACTCCAGATGCAACTTCAAGATACCACTGACAGACAACTGATTAAGCTTCATGCTGCAGAAACAAAAAGAAGCACTTCCTATAGCTAGTGCAATGACCCATCTCCAGCTCTTCCAGAAATCCTGCCTTACAGAATAGAAACAAATTACCCAGAGTCCAATCAGAAAGAGCTACAGAAGTTTCTGCATCTGAAAACACAAACTCAAAGGTTGTTAATCTGACACTTTCAGCACCAGCATCCTCATTCAAATTCAGAAATTTCCCTTTTCAGGGAACTCTCATCTCTATGCAGAAATACCAGATCCTGGACTTTAAAGATACAACTACCTCACGCAGAAAATAACTGTTGTTCACTTTGCATGATTATGAAGAAAAATTTCTCCAACAAGGTAATGTTTAATTAACAACCTGAAACTGTAGTAGAATATTAAATTTTTTCTCAGGAGACAGTTGATATAGCATGCCAGGTCACCTTGTATTCTACCAGCCAAAATTCTTGCCAAGCCCACTAAGTCTGATTATTATTATTATAGAAAAGCAGTGCCAAGAAACAACATATCTATTTTAAATGCTCCTATTACCTTTCTTCCTTTAACACTAAAATGAAAATTAAAGTGCCTGTCATTTTATCAGTAATCTAATGCTGAGTAGTCAGATGTATTCCTATTTTTAATTATCTACCACACTTTCGCTCAGAGGGAATTGAGATGAAGATTCTGAATTCTCAAATGGGCAAACCACCTTTTCCATAACTATTACGTAACTAATTGTTGGAAGGATTTGTGTGCTCTCAAATTTTGCACGTTAAACTCTACACTTAAAACCCTGTTTTAACCTTCTTATCATGTTACATAAAACACCCCATCATACACGTAAGCATTCATAAGCCCAATTTAAAATTGAAGTAAAGTCCAAACAATTCAAACAAAATCAATTCAGCTTTGAGCAAGGCAATAAGGCACTTAGTAAGTGATGACTCTACCATTTTGAATATTAACATCTAAAAAAAGTCACCTGACCTGACAACTTCAACCTTCTCACCTCATTTTTAAATATAGACATAGGCTATTTCTGACCAAAACACACCTACATGGAGCACAATGTTAAGCTTAAAGCAAATAGATCATACCTGTATAAGCAAAACAAACCTACTAATAACCAGTTCTTTAACATGACAGAAAGAGTACCATGATAAAAAAACATTCCTCAAACTTGAAAACGGCTATTACTTAGCACAATACCATTTACAAACTGTCACAAAAAGCACACCATCAAGAAATAAACATAGTATTGAAAACTTTTGTAAATATTTATATAAACAACGTTGCATTGTCATTCATATATTACTTAAAACACATAAACTACTATTTGTTAAGCTAGCTCACATTCTTATTATATCTAAAATAGAAATCTTACCTGGTCTTTCCACTTTGATAACTTCAGCCCCTAGATCTCCCAAATTCATTGTGGCAAAAGGTCCTGCAAGCACCCTGTAATATTAAAGAAATATTGTTTTCTTAGTTTTTCCAAACAGAATATTTGCATCTAGACACACTGTTCCAAATTACAGACAAAACACAAACCTTGTTAAATCAAGAATTTTCACACCATCCAATGGCTTTACATTACTAGCATCTGTCAAGAAAGAGAAAATAGAGACTTTTATGTTAAAAAAAAAAATAATAAAATTCAGGAGTGTTTCTCATCAGTTGTCTGAAACACTGTTTTTATGCCACTGTCCCCTCATCTCCCTCCCCAAATACAGGATAATAATCTCCAGGGAGATTTCTGTTAAACAAGTTAATAAGTTTTGGATTTTAATATAATATGCAGACTAAGGAGTATTGTGAAAACATGCCTATCTAGGAATGGCCATGTGTTTTGCACTTTCCGAGCCTTTAAGAAAATCTCAGGCTGCCACCTCGCTTCAGTGCTGCACACCTCAGTGAGTTGCAGGTGTTGAAAAACAGTTGTGCCAGGTAAACACCACCAGCCCTCCAGTAGAACCTCAGTCTTATGAAGCCAGGTGCACCATTTGTTTCACAGTGACACTACTCTGTTTACCAAAAATACGTAAACAGCTTTACTGAAGAGCACAGCTCCCCAAAAGTAAAAATATACACAATTTCAATTTAAAAAAAAAAAGGTCCACCTTCTCTATTCTTTCCATGCCTTTTAGAGTTGCACCTTATTATTTAATGGCTCGCCCATTCTCATTGTGAGCTGAGTTGCAGGAATCCATAAAGATATTTCTCAAAGAAGCCTATAAAACATCAAGATTAGCCTGTAATTATGTATTTATGCATAACTAAAACTAATTATCATATCACTCATATTATGGCATCATCTAACACTTCATTCGGGGATTAGGCCTCTTCCATAGTTGGAAGAGAATAGGAGAGCACAATCGTTGCCTTGGAGACAAACAGACCATTGTGAATTTTTTTTAATGCCAATAAATAACAGATGTCCACAATAATGAAGAAATGCAAGAAAGAGGAGAGATAAAAAGTTTCCTTTGGAAAATCTGAGGAAAATAATAGACCTGTTAGTTTCTTCAGACTAGAAGATCACAAATGCTCACAAAGAAAATATACAGGACCTAGAGCTGCATTTCAGCAAGTCAATAATTTGCTGAAACAATTAAAACAGAAAGTGTTTTGACTATCAGAGAAGCAGCAGTTCCAGTACACTGATCCTGAGTACAGGAATGCTATCTATTGCAGGAACATAAAGAAATAAAACCATATCACAAACAGACACAAGAGATCAGAATTGATCAGTATTACCTAGAAACATCTCCTGGGCTTTTTTTTAGTTAATTTTTGGTGGGTTTTTTCCTTTCCTCGCTAGCTTCCAAAGTGTACCTCACCGAGTTTTTTGTTGGAATTCTGGTTCAATAGGCTAAATTTTCTGAAAATGTGAACTCACATTTTCTCTTGTATTTTTGCTTTTAATTATTCCAGTAACTTGATGACTGAAAGAAAAATCCACTCTCCCTGCTATAACTATATCCTATATGTAAACTCTCAATTTCCATGATGCTTGAATTTACTGTGAATTGGACTATCATATGTATCTTTTATAAATAACTTCGATTAAGAATAAATCGACCCAGTTACTCTCGATATGATTTACATTCTTTAGTTAAGCTCAGTAAGCTATCCTAAGGTTAGCCTAAACTAACAGTATGAGTAAGGAACAAACAAAGAAGAGAAATTAATTTTTATAGTATATTCCCAAATGATTTCCTTTATACTTTTAAGTGACAGAAAAGGGCACCAACAAGAGAGCCAGTTAAAGCATTTTTGCATCAATGCAAATTAACAGTCCTCATTCCAATTACATTCAATTCCAGAGGACATAGCTCCTCAAGTCTATTGTCTCTACTTTGACTGCACAATCAATATTTTTTACTTTATCCATGCAGCAAGTTATAATCAAGTCCATCACTACTGTGGATTAATTCATGATCAGTGGGTACATTCCAACGTACACACCTGGTACTTTCATCGTGGGAGACAGAAACGCAAACTTCCTTCAATTCTAATGCCACCAACGCTATTGTTAACTATTTTTCTATGTCACTAACTAAGAGAGAAACGTGAAGCTAGAGAAGAAATACTTTGTTGCAGCTTGGATTTATTTTCCTTCATTTAAAAAGAGAAAAAAAGGCACAACTGTACGAAGTTTGACTTTTGTAACCTTTGGGAAAAAAACAGGCCTGAAACTGGGCATCTGGCGCTTCCCCCGCCTCCACCAGCCGAGACTGCCCCGAGAAAGCCGACACGCTCCGTGCCACAAAAGCTCCGGAGCCTCCGGCAGCGCGCACGGCTGCGGGCAAAGTCCGGCCGCGGGCAAAGTCCGGCCGCGGTGATCCCACCGGGAGCCCCCCGAGACTGCAGGGGCTCGCCCCCAGCGCGGTGGCTAAGTGCCCCCGTCCGCCGCTCGCCGCCACAGGAGTCCCGCGTCCGTCCCGCCTGCCCCCGCCACAAAGGGAAGCAGCTCCGACCCCCGACCCAGCCGCACTGTCCCAGGGCCACGGGCAGATTACACGGGCAGGCGGGCTCAACGCGGCGAGAGACGGGGGGCTGAGGAGGAGCAAGAGGAGAGCGCGGCGCGGCACGGAACAGCATGGCACGGGTACCTGCCGGGGAAGCGCCCCCGCTCCGAGCCCCGCCGCCGCTGCCGCTGCCAGAGGAGGCGGAGGCGGCGCTCGGGGCTCTGGCGCTGCCGCTGGCAGCTGCGGAGCACGGGTTCCTCCAGAGCCCGCCGCAACGCCCGCTCCCTCTTCCCAGCGCGGCGCGAAGCATCTCCGCCACCGGAGCCACCACTGACAGCCTCGGCGCAGGCGCCGCTGCCACCGCCCCCTTCCCTTCCCCTCCCGCACCCGGGCAGCCTTAAAGTGTCCCGCCCACTGCATCGGCGGGACAGCTCCGCTCCCATCTCCTCTACTGTAAGGCACTCCCGGCTGGACTTTACAAAGCAGGAAAGCGCCTTGCAGATGTTTGCAGCAGGAATCCTGCTGTTCTGGAAGCTTGTACTTGCAGTTCGGCGTACAGACTGTGACATGCGACATTGCCAAGAAGGAATAAAAAGTAAAATGCCTGCTCCCCCCTCCCGCCATCCCCGAAAGGTTTTCGGCACTTACTAAGGTAGGCAGCCACACTGGATGCCATTATATCTGCTCACTGGCACCAGGTGGATCCTTCATCACAATTCTTCACTGAAGGTGCAGTATTACTTACACTGTAAGGTGTATCTTCAGTTGGCTGTGGAAGGGTTAGCTTGAATTGACGTTAAAGCAATTCGTCCCTGAGCGAAGTACCGTCTGACTCTTTTTAGTCCTATTTTAGGACAGAGTAGAAGACTTGTTATAGGAACATCGTAGTGTCTTCTTGCTCTGTAACAGGATAAAAAAAGCCTGCACACAGTTTTAGCATTTATTTATAAGAAATATGATGTGACAATAAGACAACAGTTGCATCTCAAGAGTAGCTGAAACTTCTGACAGCTTGAACACGAGCATTATGAATAGCACAGGCTTAAGAAATGTCGCATGTCAGAATTCTGAGGAAAAACACAGAAAATCTTCTACATTACAGGTTCGTTGACTGGACATGCTATGCATAATGCAAAGTATGACATAGATGCTTAAAATCCTAGAAGTAATTTGGATTTGTCAACAAGAGGAAATTAGTCAGTTGAATTATCCCAGTATAACTCAAAATGTACATGACACTATGTATTTCTAAATTTCTTTGGTGTGGAAAGGGTTTAAATTAAATGAAGCTGTCCTTTTTTGGAATGAGATCGATCAGACAAATTTGTAACTTATGTTGGTAAACTGTATTGTGTAAACATGCACAATAGTAACAGATAGAAAATTGGTCTTCTAGACTAAAGGATTAGCAAAAAATTTAAGTGAGCAGGTTTAGCCTCTTTCCCTTTTAGAATTAAAAGGATATTGTCTCATTTTGCTCAGGAAATTTTTATAATGTAGTGCAGAGCTGAGTTCACTGAGAATATAAAGTTAGTTCTTGCCATTGAAAAAAAAAGTCAACTCAAAGCAAACTCCAAACCCCAAACAACTATTTAAAGCCAAACAAAAGCAAAACTGGTATATAAAGCATAGAAACATTCTGCTTATTTTAATGGTTAACCTGTGTTCTGTGCTGTTCTGAAAGCCCTCTTTAATTTTCATATGTGACAATATCCTAAAACCAAGTAGTGTTGATACAAATTAAAAAAAAAAAGTCTTTATTATTTTTTTGTACAGAGTTCTTGAGGATTTGCATTAGTATACCTGAGAACAGAGCAGGAATGGTAATAACACTGTTTAATTGCTGCTAAATATGAGGTTCTCCTCTAAGAGCACCTTTTGCCACGAGTTTGTATGAGTGAGTCGTTGCCTGAGCTACTACTCCACTGAATTGCTGGCAGTTCGAACTGACTGTAAAGCAAACCCTTTCCATTAAAGTGCTCTTTAAATACGTCACTATATGTATTGTCAATTGGGACTGCCCTAGCGCACGTAGTTATTTGCAGGCTCAGATGTTATAAGACAGCAGAACAAAGGCGCACAAATAAGCATATCTGAAGTGCCATGAAGTGTGAGGTAAATACTCTCTTTGCTGTACAACAGATCATTTCGTTGTTGTTCACTGTAGCTGTGGAACCGCGGGTGTTCCCTCACAGCACCCAGGGCTTTCACCGCCTGAGTTACCAGGCGCGGCTTCTGCGCGTCTCCTGAGACTCTCTTACTCCAGATTATTCCTCTTGATCTGGAAAACGCACAGAATTACTCAGGGTCGGCGTGACAGATCGCTATGCAGGCTGAACGAGCCGAACTCCCACTCTCCCACTTCCAGGTGGGATGGACGGCGCCTCGCCTTCCCCGGCCCGGAACGTTTGGAGGCCGGAACCTTCGGGCCGCCTGGCGGGGAAAAGGCGTGGGGAAGGAAAAGGAGTACGCGCGGCGCTGCCATTGCGCAGGTTCCATTCCCGGCGCTGCCATTCCCGGCCTGTCTCTTCTTGGCCATGTACCGGCCAGGGTTCCGCGCGCCCACACCTCCCTACGCGGGCGGCGGCTTCCGGACCCCCCCCTCCGGTGGAGGGCCCCTGCCGCCCTCCCCGCGGGGCTACGGGAGCCCCCACCACACGCCGCCCTACGGGCCCCGGCCTGGCCCGTACGGCGGCGGCCTCTCGCCCCGCGGGCCCGGGTTCCAGGGGCGCTTCGGGAGCCCCTCGCCGGGGGCGCAGACACCGCGCAGGCCGCAGAGCGTCAGCCCCCGGTACCCGGCTCCCTACGGCGGCGCGGCCGGGGCGCCCCTGCACCTGCCGTCGCAGCACAAGCGCTCGCCCGGGGGCTTCCAGAGGCACTTCCAGGTATGGGGCAGGGCCGAGAGGGACACGGGGAGGGAGGGAGGGAGCTGCTGCCGCTTTAAAGCCCGCTAGGGAGAGCACGCTGAGCGCAGCATCCACCCGCTCCAGCACGATTTTCAGCGAAGAGCGGCGCTTGCACCGCACTGGGCAACATCAGTGTTCCCCCCGCAGCAGAGAGGACGGAGAGAGCACAGCTCAGGCAGCTGTAAGATGAGGAAAGGGAAGAGGCCGCGGGCCTGGCCTGTTGTGAAGACACAAGGGCTGATGAAGGTGCAACTTTTCTATTTCATATTGTGGCACGTGAAGGTACAGAGAGAATTAAGCACCGCCCAAAACTGCAGCAAACGCCTCTTTTTCCTGTACATGCCTCCCTTTGATGAGTTTTCTTCGATGCAATGGTAAAGCACTATGTGCTTTTAGTTTGCCTGTATTGTTACATCATGGGAGCTTCCTTATCCACACCCTGTCCACACCCAGAGCTTCCTGGGACACGGCTACAGAACAGGAGTGCTTATTAAAGAGAATTAAGCTGAGGCTCCTTTAAGCAGAAATTAGAGCACCTGTTGGGATAATAGACTATAATTTTGAAGTCTTTGCTTTGGACACTGAAAGCTTCTGTTTGTATAAAGTAGTTTTCCTGACAGTCATTCCCAACGGGTTCTGCGGGTTTTGCTTTTTTTCCAGGTGGGTTAGTTGTGGCATGTGACTGGCAATGCACCTAGGGATGATACCAACTTTATGTACATAACTGGTTTTATGCATTATTAGAGAAGCTTTAAAAGTCCAACAAATGGCACGTGCAGTACAAGCAATGATAAATTTTGTAGGTGCTCTTACTGACACTTCAGGGATTAGAGTGTGATAATGAAGTCAAATCTTAATAGAGATTAGTAAAATGTTAACGTGCCTGCACTGCATTGTCATATTTCCATTCAGAAATAGTACTTTGTTACTTTTTTGTGATGCAGTTAGCTATCTTACAGGAATCTTATAGTTGGTGGAAGGGGATCATTCTGAGCTTTGTACATATTCTTCAACACAACAGCAAAGACTCTCCTGGTGTAAAAGCCAATACATGGCTTAAGCTCTGTACCTCTGGAAAAGGCCAAGGATGTGGCATTTCTGCTGTAGATTCTAGAGGGACAGTTTATGTGATCGATGTCTAATTTCCCTTCAAAAGATTACTCTTTGGCTGTTCAATTAAGTGGCTTTTTCAAAGCCTACCTTAAAGTAATTGAGCAGAAGAATATGCAGGAATCCTTTTGTCCCTAGTTTTAGTCAGAACTGTTTCTTATCAGGACCCGTGGACAGGAACAGTCCCATAGGCTCATTCGTGATGTAGGAAACCCAATATAAAGAAGGTAGAAGTCTGAATCCAGTCTCAGCTTGTCACAACATTTTCCCTTCTCCCCTTTCCTTCTGTAGACTTTGTGAGTAGTTTAGGAGCATTGGCCTGATGGTGATGCTTTGAAAGACTCAAAGGATATTGTATGTCTGTAGCTCTGCGTAGGGCTGAAGTAATGTCTGTCTGCTTTTATGAGAATCCACAAGGGCTGTTTTTCCGGGGGGGGGGGGGGGCAGTGGAGGCAATCACAGAGGGAGGAAGTCTCATAAACCCCAAGTCCCCATTTTCTTTGGTGTGGACAAGAATCTCTCCATGAGGCCATGAATAAATTCAGGTTGAAGGCCTTTTTGCATTTTCGAAGCGTCAGATTTCTTTGTGAGCCATGTGTATTGTCCCCCTCTCTTCTGTAGGTGCTGATGTTAAGAGAACTACAGTGCTTTTGAAATCTGTGATGCTGTGGTCACCTTTGAGAAGGAAGTCTTAAGTGGTCCTTTAAAATCTTGTCAGAAAATCCAAAAGACAGTTTATGTTTACTTCAGTGTTCCATTAATGTCATGTCATTGGCATTCTGTGCTCATTTTGTGCTTGCAGACATTCATTTTTTGAAATGAGCAGAAAACACAAAGAAAAACATAGAGAGCTTGTTTTTTCTGAAATGGGTGACAACCTTTATGTGGCCAATAGTTTACAGCACTTTCTGGTCTTTCCACAGACATGCATCTGATTTATCTGTTATGAAAACATGGTCATGAAAACAAGGGCCTGTAGTGACAGGACAAGGAGGAATGGCTTTAAACTGAAAGAGAATGGATTTACACTGGATATTAGGAAGAAGTTCTTTACTGTGAGGGTGATGAGACACGGGAACAGGTTGCCCAGAGAAGTTGTGGATGCCCCATCCCTGGAAATGTTCAAGGCCAGGCTGGATGGGGCTTTGAGCAACCTAGACTAGTGGAAGGTGTACCTGCCCTCTGAGGGAGGGTTGGAACTAGATGATCTTTAAGGTCCCTTCCAACCCAAACCATTCTGTGATTCTGTGTTTGTTGTAATTCTTGAGTATCTACTCTTAGAATTCACTTAGTGGTAATGTTTCCTTTTCTACACTCAGCACGAATTAGTGAACTAGCTGGTAGCAGTAGCTTGTTAGTGGTGTGGATCAAAGATTATTACAGAAAGTGAAAAAAACCCCCAAACCCCAGCCTTTTGAAATGGTACAGTTGTGATTTTCATGTTTTCTGTGTATGCCAGCAGCTGTAATGACATCAGATGAAGAAAGCTGATAAAGGGAGTAACTGTCCCCATTTTCAAGGCAGTGTTACTCAGCTCAGTAAGGTGTTAGTGAGTAGCACTAAAAGATGTTGTTTTCTGCTCTAGAGAGAGACTTTATATCTGGAGAAAAAGTATTGAGAACAGATTGACTGTTTCTTTAAGGAAAGTTAACTGAGAAAAGGCTGTTGGCATCAGGGACAGCAAAATAGAAAGTTTTTTTTAAGGTATCTTTGGCGTCAAACAGTGTCTCTTGCACAGAATGGTTTAATTTCTACAGGTAGGGCAATTTCCCTTTTCCACAGGCCTAAAAAAATACAGAGGGGAAAAAAGCATATGTTGACTAGCATTCTAGACTTAAATAATCTACATGCTTAAAGTTAACACTTATTAAAGTCTGTCAATCTTGTATTACATAATACATTTCCTAGATTTCAGACATGCTAAAAATGTCAGTGTTACTGATGGCCTGCATATATTGTAGTGAAATTTAATATTATCAAATAAACCCATATAAATGAGCCTTACCATTGGATTATTTTGATCCTTCACTGAATACTGCAGATTATGTCAGCTGAGCTTTGTGTTCTGCAGATCAGATATAGCATTAAATAAGCTCCACACTCAAACTGTTATACAATGTCAAAGTTACTGGGTCTTCCTTAAATATGCTGTTTTAGAGATGGTGAAGTTTTGTGGTTTTTTCAGACAGAATGCCCTGTGTACTACTGCTTTACTGCTAAATGTGAGGGCTTAACATAAATGTCACTTTTGCTAGTGCATGTCAACTTTAGAAAATTCCATGTCCCTTAGAAAGTTTTTTAGATGTAGTCTGAGGTGATTCTCTCTGATCCTTGTAGGGTTTGATGCAATAAAGTAATTCTTCTTGCCCTGTAAATAAGACATGGGTGTTCCCACATTTGGTCGTGTATGCATTGTCATCAAGCTTTAGGAGTTCTAGAAGAGTTCTTGCTGGAACCAAATTAACATGTTCCTGCCACAGCACATGAGCAGAAATAGGTTCAAGCTGTTTGAGGGAAATCTATTCTTCTGGCTAAAGACAGGGGGCTTCACTGTACAGCACCATTTCTCAGTTTTACCCAAAAATTGTTTCATGTGATCTATTTATGTAGATTCTGTAAGGGCTTATTAGTCAAATTCAAATACCATCACTGCTGGTCCAAAAAGTCAGGGGTTGGGAGGGGTAGGAGGGGGAAGCAGCCCATAATCATGGGTTTTTACCGTGCTTCGCAAAGTTTAATACAGCCTCGAGGAGTCCTGTTGTTCTAATCATACAGAATGCAATGGGCATGTTTGGAGACTATTGTGTACCTGTAATAGGCATTGTTTAACTTTGGTAAAAACAAAATTAATTTAATTAATACAGCTTTAAACAAAACCTCACTTTTTAGGGAAGTGAATCTGAAGAGAAGAACAATGGATGATGCTAACAGGAGAAAATGGTTATAGGCATTCCTTTATGTCATAGCTCTCTTTAAGTTGCAGACTTGTAGCAGCTTTACCCAAGCAATTGTAGTGATCCTTGATCTTAAAAATGAAAAATAAATCAAAAGTTCCATGCGAAAGTCAGTATCTGCTTAATCACTGATTACCATTCAGATTGCACATAAAATAAAACCATCTGTTCTCAAATTTCACAGAATACTGGTTTGAATGAAATGTGTTTTTTTTCTCAATGAGTTCTTTGGGTCATTTGTAGCTATTTGTGTTAAACAACACTGTGTTCAATCAGTAAGTACTTAAATATGACTTCTGCTCTTGTTAATATTGTCAGCTCTTCCTCAGCCTGTAACTCCCTGTTTTGTTATTCAGCTTTTGTTAGACATATCGTTGACTTAGGCAGCTTATGAAGAACAGCATGAGGAGCTTTTCTGTAGCTGTGTGCCAGAGTGATGTAAACAAGTATTTCGGAGAAGTCTGTTGTGGGGCTTTTTTCTTATTTTGGTAAATCATCAGCTGTAATTAAAAGAATAATAAAGTTAATATTTTCTGAGAAAGATGCAAGTGAGACATAGTAATGATAATTAATAATCAGCTTCAAAGCTCTACTATGGTAGAAAGAAACATTTTTTTTTTTTAAGTTTGAATTAGTCTATTGAATGTTTCTTTACCTGATGGTTTTCTTCCAAAGGGATCACCCAGGACATCTACTCCATTTGGTACAGCGCATGGCAGAGAGAAAAGAGTGTCTAATGATGTGGAAAACTATTACAGACCTTCAATGCTTGAGGACCCATGGGCTGGCCTAGAGCCAGTTTCTGTTACAGACATAAACCAGCAATACAGCAGTGAGCAAACAACATGTACTGGTAAAAAAGGGAGGTATTTCAGCTAACACTTTTAAAGGCCAAATAACTCCATCTTGTCAGGAAAACTTTGGGACAAAATCTTAACACTTACACAAGATGAACAGTAATCAAGACCTTAGATAATGCTTTTATTTGAACATATGTCCACCCTTTTATCCTACTTTTTTTTTATTGCATTGGATATTTTTATGTATGGGACAGAAAAGGAGTGGTAGGAAACCTTACATTTCTGGCTATGTGGAAGTGCCTACCAGCTTTGAAGAACAAAGTGTTCTTTAATCACCAGCGACTGATATGTGACTGTTAAAACAGGTTTCCTTATACTTACCTCTTCCATGCCAGATTGTTAGCCTTTTATTGTAAAGTACTTTAGGAAGTGGTATTTTTTTATGTTTCAACATTTTTAGAATGAAGTAACTAGGAAATAAAGTTTTGTAAATTCTTGTTTTGTAATGTATAAAGAATATTTTAGGACTCTTGTTAAGGTGTACACATTAACACAAATAGTACTATTGAAATTAGGTGACTTCTGTAAATGTGCTTGTATGCTGTAGTTAACCTGTGGTTTTGTGCATAGTGATTTTTGTTAATTGCAGTGTAATGTGAAGTTGAAACGTGACTTTTAGCCATCTCAGGAAACAAATGTATTGCTTTTGGAAAGTTTAATTTGTTGAACCAATTCTTGAGTCACAAACTTAATTCTGTAATCATTTGCTTTTGTGTTTAAAAAAATATAGTTGAATCAATATTAGACATTTTTGGATTATAGTAACAAGTCTGTGCAGTGGGAGTTTAAGTCTAAGGAGTACATAAAACACAAGATAAAATAACTGGAAATGTTCTCTGTGGGTCCACCTGTTAGAATAGAGGTTTTGTTATACTGTTGACATTAGTACATGCATAGCTTTTGGTTTTTTTTAATCTGTACAATATTTTCCAATTATTTTTTATTTTTACTTATGGCAGGAATCATTGCCAGGAGAACTGTTTTGTGTGTGTGCATGCTATATTTTTATACTGAAGTGGAAAACAAGGAGTTGGTTTTTTAGACCTTGTCTTTACATGGAAGATTCATGCATCTAAAGTACATCACCTCTGTTTTCCCCCAGCTGACCCTGTTGTTTTAGTATTATATCCAAAAAGGCTGCTGAGAGAACTGAGAATGTAATGCCTTCTGGATGTCAAGGATGGTTAAATCTTCATCCCAGAATCAAAAGAACTGTGCCTTAAATGGCAGCTGTCAGTATCATTATCTGTAATAGGTACCAGCAAAACTGAGATGACAAGTTGCAGATAGTCTTTAGAATTTATACATCAGTTAATTGATGTCAATTGTCAAAAGTGAAGTATAAAGTTTTCTTTCCTTTTTTTTTTTTTTTTAAAACCTTGTCAGGTGCTGTAAAGCTCACAAAAAAAAAAAAAGTTGTAGTCTGCTCAACCAAGTCACCTTTTTTTTATTGCTATTTCCCATGTGATTGAATGCAATTTATTTTTTGCAATGTTTGGTGATCTTGGAGAAACAAATATGATTTTATTCAAGACACTAAAGCTCTGATGTGTTCACAGTTAGATATGAGAAAAGTTTGGGTTTGGAAAGGAGAAAGGAAAGGTAAAGGATTCCTGACAGAGGGGAGTCTGTTAAGAGGTGGGACTGCTTACACAATAGGCAGTATCAGCTGCCTTTGCACATTGCAAAGGTACATTTTGCCATTTTGGCTTTGCAGTTGGCCCAGGGATCAAAGCCAGCCTCCTCTGGTAATAATTCTTAACTCCTGGAACCAGGTGTCAGACATCAGTGAAGATAAATGTTCCAGAAAGACTTAAGGAAATATTCCTGAAGCACTGTTTAATCAATGCAGATCTTCTACAATGGCATCTGTTAAGCTGCTGCTCCAGTACACTTCAGGATATGATCCAACAATTATATCACAATGCTAAAGACTCCAATCACTTGGTCAAGAATCCACACCAAAAACTTAAAAATTATTCACCTTTCTGGCTTCTAGGAGAAATTCTGCAATTACAGTAAAATTTTTAAATGTCATTGTTGAATAGCTGTAAAATGCATGAACACATGTTCAGAACTATAAATATAATGTACTTAAAGCCAATTTAAGCTTTGCCTTTTGTGCTGCGGTACCCAAGAAGCTTAAGCACTTACTTCCTCACCAGGTTTTTTTCCTTTTTACCATATGGCAAACATTCTTTTTCCCCACATGTTTCTAACAGAGAGAAAATATATCACTTCCTCATTTATTAATGAAGCTACTTCATAGTAACAGTATGACTCTGGAAATAGCATTTGATGATAAAAAGTAAAGCACAAATGCATCCTTTCTTCATGAGCCCATGAAACAAAATAGTGCCTATGTCTTGTTAATGAAAGGATTCTTCTGTAATGAACGTACTAAGAATATGGGCATTACTCTTTCTTCAACAGACTTCTTAGATTTTAAGGTAAGTAATTTAGCTCCTTTTTCAGAAGTTTGGATGGGTATACTTTTCCATTCTGTTCCGCTTGCATCAAGTCCATTTGACTTTCTATTCAGTTGTTGTAAAGGAGTTGTATAACTCTTGACTAATTCTTCCAGCAAAAATTAATACAGCTCCTGTATTTAACATTGAACTGCATCGCTACTACACTGTGCTGATATCACAGTAACATGACTTAAATCAGGTGAATACATGTGTAATGCAGCAACACACTGGGTGGGTAGCTACCCCAAGTTGTACTAGAATAGTTCTAAGTTCAGGTTTAAGGTTCCATTGCAGCTTTATAATATGGAATATTCATTCTTCTCTGGCACTTAATACACACTATTTTATATTGAAACTTAAATAATTTAGAACATTGAAATTACAATTAAAATGGGATTTTAAAAGTTCATATCAAGCTCCTGTTTAGAATTAGCAATAATGCATTGAGATGTAGCATTTTCCTAATATCAGAGCTGGGAACACTTGCCAGGGAAAATGCTTCTGGGGAGCAGAATGGATAACTACTTTTGTAGTCAGGTTGTTTTTCTTTTCCTGTTAAGGGTATCTTTATGTGCTCTTCAGTTTATATAAATTGTAAAATTAGACATCTGAGGGGGAGCATTTGAAACATGCATTAATTATATGGAAATTCTACAAGCAGCTGTTCAGCTTCCTTCTAAAGGAAATTTTTTCATAGTCGGTTTGGGCTTCAAGTTGTGCTTCTGAGTAATCTCACTGAAGTCAGAGGATTCACTCGTGCAACTGAGATGTGTAAGTATCTAATGTTACAGTTTGAAAATTGTATCATCCCTTAGTCTGTCAACTTTTTTCCAACACACAGCAGTTAACTGCTCTGCCTAGCTATTGCTCTGAATTCAAGTTCACATATGAGCCAAGACTGTCTTGCAGATTAATTAAACTTGTTCTTACAACATTTTCCAAAACTCTCAAGTGTAAAGACTGTTCTCCTTTCCCCAAATCTTGGTGCTTGCCTTCCTCCTAGCTCCTTGGAACTGGGGAAAAAAGGGAGGACTGCCTACACTGATTGGTGAAGAATCATATAATGATTTTCATGTCTCAGGCTTTCAGAAACTTGTGTACCAATTGATATAGGTAACTAGATAAACTTTTTTATCATTTGAGATGTCTCAAAACAACTTTTTATAGCATGAGAAATGAAAGAAATCACTGTTATGCCTAGCAGTATTAATTCAGAATCCGTCATTAATTCAGCACTCAGTCATTAATTCAGAATCCAATTTTTTTGCCTAAAGTAACTTTTCATCTGTATATAACTAGGCACAAAGTGAGTAATTTTCATTTTCTGCCATTTTCACTGAAATGTGTGCTTTGCTGACTTGGAATTTAAGAACACTCTCAACTTGGACTTCTGAATTTACTTTTACACAAATTACTAGCTCTGGAGCGTTAGACCTCACATCTAGGCCTTCCCTTTAAGGCATTTTAGATCTGGCAAAAAGAGCTTTGTCTCATCCCCATTGCTTCCTTGATGACACTAGGAAACCTTTGACTAGGGCTAGAGACAGTTGTGCAGATGCTTGGTGCGAGACCAGGCCGTCAAGGTACCCTTCCTCTCCTAGAGGTTACCTCTACCCTTGCCATTCCAGAGCAGTGGGGCCCAGGAGGTGTGTTGAGCCAAAAAGTAATCCTTCATTTTGCTTCACCAGCTCTGTGTGGGTTTCAAACCATAACCATATTGGGAGTTTGCTTAGTGCATGTCCTGAATTTTAAATTTCATCAGTGTCTTCTGCAGTAAAATCACAGGTGAATTCCACTGGCCTTTGTTCATTGATCTGTGGCTGTTGCACGTTGCTGTTCTGAACTATTAATGTAAACATTTGTACTCAAGAACATAACTTTGTGGCTAAAAGGGGTCATACCAGTACAGTTCCAGAGTAAAATTTTTACTACTGCTGACACCACTGCTATTAAAATAAGAGCTTCTCTGTCCCCCTTTAACAGGATAAAAATTAAGCAGTTGAGATGCTGAGCTACAAACTGTGGTCTGTGTAGGGCCAGATGGACATACCTCTATTAGCTGATTTCCGGATTGGAGATAGAATGGGGTTTTAACAAAGAGCTGAAAAAAAATACCATCCCACTCCCTAAAAAGACAGAAAAAGGTATTTCTCAAAAGTAACCTTACACATGAAACAGGAATTCTTACACAGCCTCAAATTTTTCCACAGTCTTGCAGAATGTGAGTTCTGTCTTATTCTTTTTCTTCTGGAGAAGCACTGGCTTGTTACCATAACTTCAAGGCTTTCCATGACATGAACTTCAGTTAAAACCATCAGCTCACCATTTGACCTGCTCTCTGACAAAGAAATCTCTAGGCTATACTGTTCATTGGATGTCAGTATTATTTTTTTGACAGTGAAAAAGTTACACCTTCAAATTCTACCAGGGACCTAATTTTCACATACTGAAATTAATTCTTCAAATTGCTTAATTCTGAGTATTCATTTTTTCCAGGTAACCGTGACAGGATTGTGGAGAATGTATTAAAGTTATGCCTTTTTTCCCTATAAAAGAAAGATAATAAGTTGCATTAATTTCATTAATGTATCAGTTGTGGTTCAAGTAGTGATGGCAGTTTGCAAATTCAACAGAATCTGGGACTCCCTCCTTTCTTTCTTGAAAGTGCTTACACTTTCCAGAACTGGCCAACACGGTTCACCCACAGGCACGCTGGGTCAGAGCTTTTGCAGGTGAGATACTGGGACGGCAATAATGGTCTCCACGGTGCCAGATGGACATCTGAATAGGGACATCATTGCAATTCAGTGTGACCCATATTAGCCCATTTCTACATTGCAGCTACAATAGGATTTTAACAAGGACAAAACAAGTAAGTCCCCTTCCCTCCCACACACACAGAGACACACTTCAAGGGACTTTTAATTTTCCAAGTCTATGGTAAGCCACTATGTTACTGAGGTAAAGAATAATAGAATTTAAATTGTTTTTTCATTTATTCACTAGTGACAGCATCTTAGGAGGCAAAGAATTTGACATCACATCAAGCTGAAATTTTTAACACAGTTACTTTAAAAAATGGGCTGCACTTGAAAATCCGTATGTACTACCCTGCTTCTGTGGGCAGCAGTAATCATGCTGCTTGATGCTGTATTAAACTACACTTAAAGCTTCTGGTATCCCTATGT